GGGGAGGGTTCAATTGACTCATGCATTAGTCTCGACGTTAGTCCTTTTATCGCACCTGTTGTAGTCTTCCAATTTCGCAAACAAACCCACACACAAATTCAACACAACTTAATTAAGCCTTTATAAAATCTTAGGGGTTTTTTAAAATGCCATTCAATGTTCTAGTTGGTTGAATTATCGATTATTTCTACTATACAGGTGGGATAAGCAATTTTTTTCGATAGAGCAAGTAGCCATACCAGTAATTCAATAAACGATTTGCTAATAATAATGGTTTAATACTGTTTTTACTTTATAAGCACATTTCACTAAATCGGGTTAAGATCTGGCGAATAGGTGGGTAGATAGAGAAACTCCCCCTGTCCTCTGAGAATTCTTCAAGGATTAATCCCCCATCAAGGTGATGTACGGCCAAATTATCCATAACAACGATATCGTCTATCTCAAGAACTGCGGGCGAAGAGTATTCATGTTTGTAGCATTGCTAGCTTCTTGGAAAAAATTTAAGAATTCCACAGTGTTTGATGCTGCATCGATTAACTTATAATATTCTGGACCATTCAATGAAACTAGCATGTAGTTCAAAATTGCGTTCGCACTTTGTGCTTTTCTAACTACTTGCACACAACTCTCGCCAACGGGAGAATGTCCATACGAGCGAGTTCCCACATCTGGTAACTTAACACTCGCCTCGTCAAAAAATTYAATTCTTCTGGGGTCTTTTTGAGCTCAAGTAATCAAGAAACAACTGCGTGTACAGCATGTTATCGTATGTAAATCTTTCTGCTGCGATCTGGGTGTTTTCTTTTTCTTGTGTATTTCTTCCCGGAGGGCAACTTTGATCTGATGGCGCGTGAAATCGACGGAAGGCTAATATCACCTCCAACGTCTCCATATTCTTCCAAAATCTCGTAAATTTCTTTCAAAGAAATCGATCCTCTTCGTGATTTGAGAGTTTCGATCAGTTCGAGGTCACCACCACTTAGTTTGGAACTGTGATCACCTCCGCTCTTCAAACTTTCGGATACTATAAGACTCGCAAAATTTGTTCCATATACTTCTATTAGTATAAACATACTAATGGTCTATCACTCATACTGCGCTGTGATTGGCTACTCTACTAATGGTCTAATTTGTGATAGACCACTCGCGGGAAAATCAAAATAGATAAAATATAAAATATAAATTATTTTAAGGATATTTCAATTTGTTTTCATTATTTGACCGATTAGTATGTTTATACTAAAACAATTAATTACCAATTAAACCTCTCGGCCTCGTGGACTACGAGGTAATAGCCTATTCGGCCTCGCGGACTCGGCCTCATGGGCTATTAGCTCGTAGTCCACTCGACCTCGAGGTCTAATTGGTAATTAACGGTACGTGGTTGGAGATACTTTCAACTTCTGTGCGATTGCTTTATATGTAAAAGAATACACCAGTAGTTCTGTCACCATCGGCGCTTATTAGTCGGACTATAGCCGAAGGCTAGGTCGACTCAAGTTTTACCTTTTAGCCAATCTATCTATGTATTATGTCGCGTTTGGACCACCGGAAGTTAAGAATTTAATAATCAACTATTGGGTTGGCTGTGTTATTACATGACCGGAAGCTCAAACGTATAGATGTACGAATATAACGTTAGTAAATGTGGTATCTGTGATCTCATCGGAATGCATCAGTCTAGCCATCAGAAGTACGCGCATGTGCGGATCGCATGGAGCTTCGAGTAGTATGCTTACGGAACTGAATTCTAGCGCTAGACAGTCTTGTTTGGGCAAAGATTTCAAATTAGAACAAGAAAAACTTTGTTTATCAATAACAAAAAGGCGACTTTGATTATTTTATAGGCATCTTTTCAAAAGTATTTATTTTCTTGGCCTGAGAGGTCAACAATTTGAATTAAAAACGTATTAGATATGATATCACTTAGAGACATCTTGTCTACCGGGTATTAATTACATGACCTTTTAGGTCAAAATTTAGATTTCTATCGTTTTGAAGTCGTTGCAGAGTGAGCAGTCGAAAAGAATATCGTATCGTGTGAATAAACGCTCACGCATTCTTTCTTTCACTATGTATTAGAAGTAAAAAATATATTATTCTACGCCATGATATACATTCAAAAATAGCTAGTCCGACTTCACGCTCCAAGAGCGTCTAGTTGTATATCTAGTTCCTTCAAAAGATGCTAAATGTTGCATGAAAAGTAATCAACAAGGATTTACTTTCACAAATATTACTCTTAATATATTTTATATCAGTTCCTATAGATGAACTGCATGGTAGATTCTTTATATCTAAACCAGACCCTCTTAGAGCGTCAACTCGGGCGAGCTATTGTTGAAAATTGAGAAAGACAGTATATTACAGTATATTTACAAGAGAAAAGTATTAAATGAGCTCAATTTGAAAAAGTACTGAATAAGCCTGCACTTTTCAACACCTTTAGGGCACGAGTACATCCAGCTGTCAGGGTCTAGTTTTATTAGTTTCGCGAGAAGGCGTTGTTTTTGTCTAGGAAAAGTATACCTTACAAAAATACAAATAACACAATACAAAGTCTCCAAAGAAAGATCTTTCGAACGATGTAAAGTTTTCTTTGGACAAATGTGTGTACGCGACGCTACGTGACGCCAAAGTTGCTTAAAATTGCAAATTTTAGACCTTAAAGTTCGCAAAATCTTTAACTCAAAGGCAAAGTTATCAGGAAAAAACTTATTCAAAACATAGTAAATGAAGAAATCGATTCTAGTTTGGAGTAAATACAGTGTATGCTCTCCGATATATGAAACGAAAATTGAATGAAACAATCTACAATTTTCGGTGTCCTCAACTAATTTGCATATATCTCCCCCAAAACAAGATATTCAGCCAAACTAACTACACAGCGTTTATAGGGACACTCTACCCTATCAATAGTAAAAGTATGACCGCAAAATCGATTTTTCAAGGTCGCCACCTTTTGTTTTCTCTTGAAACTGATCCCACAATGCATTGAAAATCAAGTAGTGACGTAAAAGGTTCAGAAGTCTATTGATTGAACCTTAATTTGGATTCACAACAATGTGACTGACTCCTTTGCATAATTTTTAGGCTCCTGGCATACAAAAGTCGATCCTTGTCAGACGTTTTGAAGGAAATTAAAGCTCTCTCTAAGAGGTAGGTATTACTTTAAAAGAAAAGTTGTTATTTCAGGACTTTATACTGCGGGCCAATAGACTTTTAAAAGTAGAGATGGCATCTCTAAAGATTATTTTGTTTTGTTTTCCACCTTAATTTGCTTGGAGTCACTTTAAACTATTCGTCTCAAAATCCTAGATTTTTCACAAATCTAAATCTAATAAAAGTTTTTAAAAAACATTCAATGAAGTCCGTCGAGTGGCCTTCCAACCGATATCGGTGAAGTTCTTTTAATTGACAGATCTCAATCGTTAATCGGCTTCATTTTAGACTACCAATCCTCATCGGTCATGAAATTAAATGACCATTCTCAGTCTTAAAACATTTTATATGAAGATGTATGTTTCGTTCAATCTTTGGGGAGATCAGGGGGGATTTGTTCGAAACCCCCCCTGAGATTTAAAAGAATTATTCTGACACCCGGCGCTCTATGGGTCGTCTATTGAGGCAATAAAGTAACAATTATGGGATCCTCTACTTCTCTTCTTCCATCTTCACAAAGCACGCTTTATAAAATTAGGTTCAAAAAAATTATATTGAACTAGTGCTCCTAGAAAAGATTTGTTTGAGTAATAAAAAACTATAAAGTCCCTGATAATTTATTGCCGTCTTTTCTTTTGAGTTGAAAAATCTTATAGGTTTCTGTATAACAGAATAGAATAAATTGTCAGGGAAGGACACAGAATTCGGTATATATTTGGAAGGGATAGGGTATCGGTYCYCGTGMCASAACCTCTGATTATGCATTGTAAAAATGTTTTGAAAATATTTATTTTAGCTGTTTAATGTATCATATATTCTCATCTTTTTTAGAATCACAGTGATAAAATATCGCTCCATTATGAAATTACTTTATTCAAAGAGGTATCGCAAATTTCTCTTTATGGTTGGAGTTTTGTTCTTCTACTTCTGCTACCGATCCCGTCATCATTTTAATCGAAACCAATCTCAAGGTATGGCAAACGATGACGTCATAAGGAAATCCCGTGATGTCAACCAGAAGCTCACCAAGTCACAATGTACAGCGATGTTATCATGCTTAACAAACGGCACATGGACTATGAAAAAGGGTCTTAAATCTGAAGAAATCCGAAAGCGAAGCGACATAGATGCATACGTGCTTGAGTATCAAGGTTGGCCAAGAAAATTAAGTCGGTCAGACTTGAAATGCGGAAGGAAATATGGTCCCGTTGGACAAGAGAACGGCATATCCATTTGCGACGGACAAAGTGAACATCCATGCTGCAACGAGGACAAAGAAGCTTGTGGCAACACCCCAGAATACTGCAACTGCGAATCATGTACAAATTTCACTAAGTATCTTCCTGCGGAATTAGCGGAATGGAATGTCTATGACAAAGCCTG